ATTTTCAGCCAATGGCACATGAGCTGAATATGAATGGCGCATCCCTCCTACAGGATCCCTACGGTACAACCGCAGGTCGCGTCCTCTAAAAGTTACTAGAAGGCTAGGGAACATGCGAACAAAAAGTAGTCTGTTCGAGTCTGTTCCTTCCATGAGTGTACACCAAAGTACAAACGAGTCACGTCCTCGAAATAAAAGTTATAAAGAAAGTTCAGTCTAATATTATTTTACTCTAGAGAAACCCTCTACATATGTGTGCGTCCTTCCCAGTATGTAACGAATACAGATAGTGTTATAATTGAACGAATATATGTCATAACAATTCATCATTAAATTTGCCATTGTTTATATAAAGTTAAAATTACTTCAATATATAAATTATGTCAAACAAATAAGAAAGAAAAACATTTCACATTGCTAGTTAGAATTTGTTCAAATAAATGATATGATAATGATTTATTAAAATGTGATTTACAAAAACAATATAAAATAAAAGAAAGATGAAGATTGTATTCGAATTAAAATCTACATGGTGGACGCACCTTTATGTGCGACCTATCAACGTGTGATAATAGCTTATTATTTGTGCTTGACGTTAAAGAAACAGAAGAAGAATATTTCATAGTTCTGGGAATAATACATAAGCACAGGTATACATCTATATGTATATACATATATATACATGTATGTAATCCTACCGTTAGATGTGCGATAATTATTATCGTCGTAAGGTAGTCAACGTCGGATTTATTTTGCATTGAAAGTGAAAGTTAAGTGTGCCGAAGAAAGAGAGAGAAAGGGTGAGAGGAGAGAGAGAAGAAAAGTAAAAAGTTGATTGATTTTTCAATAGTAAAGAATATAACTGCAACACAGTTAAGTCTTTGATAATTTGATGTCATTGACAAAACGAGGATTGCCCTTGAGTACGATGTGCATTAATTAAGAAAACAAAATAAACGTATAGGCAAAAAGTGAAAACGAGAAAGAAAAAAGAAAGTTTTTAATCTCCATAGGGAAATTAGAAGAGAATATATTTTCTAATTTCTAATCTTGATGGAAAAGAATGACGATATCGTTCACATGTTTTGTAAGTCTATTATCTTTTATTAATATATTATTTAATTAGTGCACCAATCCTATGGAAGACAAAATATAGCTTTTTAAATGTAAAAAAAAATATATTTAAGTTATATTAGAGGCAGGTCTTATTAATATTATAACAACAATTACAAATGATTATTCTATTCTGTGATGAGTCATTACTAGCGGTAAATTTCAAATTTTTCATAATTTTGTATGTATATAAGATTTTTATTTATTTTTTAACTATTTTCTTTAACGATTAACTAAATTAATTCAATTAACATAATTTATAGGTTAAATTTTCGACGAATTAACAAAAATATTCGAAAAGATAATGTTTTCTTGTATGTATCTTTTTATATTATATTATTATTAAATTTATCGAGAACAATAGAAGTGATTAATAGAAGATAAAAATATGACGTAATTTTTTTATATTTATCAATAACTTTTGTCACTTTTATACTTAATTGTATTATTTCATGTATAGAAGCTTTTAAATATGTAGCCTACAAAGATATTGTTGAATTTATTTTATATTTTTTCTATGCGCGCGAATTGGTAAATATTTAATATTGATCTTTGATAATAAGAACTTTGGAATTTATACTGTATAGTTTTAAGCTTTGTGTTTTAATATTTATTTTAGTAATTGTTAATAGATAAAATGTTGTTATATACTCTTAAGAAGAAAATGATTACTTATCCTTAAAAAATCTTTTAAAAAATTTTGAGGTTATACTCTCTGTTAGTTATCTTCTTTGAAATTACTTTCATTTGTTTTCTTATTTTCAAAATCAAAAATTGTATAAGGCATGTCAGTACTGTACAGTATAATATAATAATTATTAAAATTCTAAAGTTGTAATTATTATAATTTTTTTTGTCCTTAGTAAAAACATAAGACATGGTTTGGATGTAGTATATCCAATATATTGGCAAGTATGTTTAATGCAGAGCCTGAATCTGTTTCTGAGGGTTGGCATACATACGAATTACCTAGCACAATGATTCCCAATGCAAGTTCTGGGATTGATGACGAAGATCATTTTTGCAAGCTCATATTGTATAAGGAGATTAAGGATTCCAGGTATGTAACTGTATCGAAGAAACGTTCACAATCATCGTATAACTTGTAGTATTTTTCAGAGTTCGTATATGGGACGTTATAATACTAGTACCGAATTTATTATTTCTTCTATTTATTGCTATAAGATTTAACAGAGCAAGGCTTAAGTTACGTGCAACGAGTAGTCCAATATTTTTAGCATTTTATGGACTTGTTATTTGTAACGTCGTTATCTCTGTAATACGATGTATTGTATCAATGACAGTCAATGCGGCAGCTACAGTTGGTGGTAAAGCAGACAAAGTGCTTTGGGTTACAGTTAGATTTTTTTTACTATCTACGGAGATGAGCGTAGTAATATTTGGTTTAGCTTTTGGTAAGTGGTGTTCACTTTTTTATTATTTACTACAAGGAATATAGCTCTTATCTTTTGTCCTAATCTATAAATTTTTGCATTTATTTTTTTTAGGACATTTGGATAGTCGGTCGAGTATTCGTAGAGTATTACTCGCCACATCTTTTATCGCTTTAGCGTTTACTATAACTCAAGGGACTTTAGAATTAGTTTTACCAGACGACACATTCCATATTCCAAGTAGAGACTTTTACGTGTTTGGTCATGGTGGTATGATGTTTTGGTTTTGCAGCAGTCTTGTTTTTACTACGGTAATGTTTATTTTATAATTAATTGAAATATATTTATATATACTTATTTACTGTTTAGTTTCATTGGAAATAATTTTATATTTCTTTAGATATATCTTTTTATATTGATATTACCATGGACACGATTAAGAGAACGTTTAGCACTTCCAAGTAAGTTTGGAATTGATTATGTTGATTTAGTGCTATGTTGAATCTAGAAATCTTAATGATATGTTATTATAGCACGGAAAAGTTTTTACGTTTATGCGGGCACGTTGGCTATGATGGATTTAGTACAATCAATTGGTGCAGGTTTTTTAACTTACACGCAAAATCCTGTTGGACTGTGCATTGTAGATTTTACCGCAGCAGTCTATTTAACTCTATTTACGCCATTGGTATACCACACTTTCCTATCAGAATTTCTTGGGTAAGTGTTCTTTCTTGTAGACATTTTATTTTTATTTTTATTTTTATATTAGTTCTGGGAATTTGATGTAGAATTGCATTTTATCGTTCTAGTGTCTCACAACCTTCAATAATGTTTTCTTACAAAGCACAAGTTGACGATGCAATGGATGAAGACACTGTATCGCTTCCTCATCAACAGAGTTTCTCATCGTTAAAAACTGACAGCGATTACATCTATCAGGTCCATACTCCGTCTATTCACATGCCCCTGTATGATCCTCAGGCATCAAATGCATCTACTGCAATGCATAGGACTTCTCTGTACTCCTTAACATCTGCGAAGGATTCTAAATATAATAATACTACTAATTCTTATGACTCTCAAGTCGCATTAAATAGATCACCTGGTATTAAAAATTTCGCTAGACGTTTTAGTGCAGAGAAACTTATAAACGATTTCGCACATTATCCTTTAACTAAATCGGACAGTGTAAGTGATATTCAAAAGAGCTCGTTGGATATTAAATTTTACAAACCAATGTTAAAAAGTGATTTAGCGTATAAAATTACATTTGGCACAGCCAAGAGTGTCTCCAATTTAATATCGTCCGCAAATACTGCTAGTAATTTTATTTATAATCCACGTATAAATAGCAGTAATTCGAATCTTTTTTTTCCAAATAAGAAAATTCATTCGGAAAATGCTTTAACAGTTTTTACATCCTATAACAAAGAATCAATGAATAGTGATTTATCAGTTAAATATAGAAAGAACGAAGAAACTGATAAAAATTCCAAATCTTGTTCTGAAAAGTCTTTAAATATATTAGATTCTTCTATTTTAAGGGATGACAACAGATCACAGAATATATTAAAAAATAAAGATAGTTTAACTAAAAGCAGTAGTGAAGTTAGATTGCAAAAAAATAAAGATTTAGAATTTATTCAAAGTCGTTCAGAAAATCGATTGCTCGATATTTCAGAAATTCCAAATGTTAGAAAAGATCTATTATCCGAGACTGAGCCACTTTCAAAGGAACATGTTTCTAACAATAAGATTAACTCTAATCGTTCGAAAAAAAAGGAATCTGCTGGCTTAAATCAATATTTGTCATCGTTAACGTCTACCAAATTTGAGAAACCTATTAAAGAACAATCTAAATCTTTATACGTGCAGACGGAATCTTTGTAAATAATCAAATGTGTACTAACTTTATAATATATTAGGATTTTAATATATAAATATTTAGTCTGTATATAGTAGTTCATAATTTCATGATTATATATATATATATACATATATGCAGAGAGATAATTTTATTGGTTTTAATTAATTTTGATACTACATTGGGAATATAGTTAAACAGGTTGATTGATTATTTAAGTATAATTTTAAAAATGAGATAGCGAATGCGTTCGCAAGTCTGTATATATGTGTGCGGTTGTTATGTGTATGTGTGAGAGATGTGCGCGTTGTGTGTATATATATTTATATATATATATATATATATATATATACACAATATATATATATATATGTATATATACAGCATGATTATAGGATATGCTCTTAATTAAAAAAACAATTTAATGTAGTCTATATATGCACTTGGTTTTAATTTATTTTTATATATANTGTTCCCTATATTATAATACTGAAACCATTTCTAAAATTATGTTCACATATTTTGAAACACCTTTGTATATATATATATATATATATAATATATATGAAATAACTTGGTAATGCCCGTGCCTCTATCATTAACATATTTATTTCATTTTAACAATGAAATTATTCATATTTGATAAAAATATTACAATAAGAAATAAATGTAATTGCGTGCTTTACTTTTATTTTTATTTTTTTATGTTGTGTTCTTGTTGTTTTGTTTGTCAATTCACAAAGTAAATTTTCATGCATTAGTAAAAGCTAAGCTTTGCACTCTGCTTACATATATCACACACGCAATCATTAATTTTTCAAATATTATCTCTTTACAAATTTATAATTCTATATACAAATATGCACACGCATAAATTCTTGCTAATTTAATTAACTAATGAATCAATTTATCTGAAAATTTATGACAAATAATAGTTAAGAGATAATATGCATTTACTATGGATAGATACTTTTCTTCTGTTTACAGAATCACAGTGTTTACGACTCTACCCAATTCGACACGAATACAACTCCAGTGAATCCGTTGTATGCAGCATCTCTACAGAGTCCAGATAGCATTACTGGTTACAGTATAGACAGTCAAGAGGCACAGAACCAAACCAACGGTTATCAACAATGAAGTTATAATTTACAATTAATCATCAAAATAATATATCTCTTTACAAATAAATATTGAGATTTCAAATAGATCTAAACGAATAGATCTGAAAACTTTGTCTCGAGTAAGAGAGCTTTGCAAAAAAAAATCCACTGTCAAAGTGTTCCAACAATATCTGGTAGGTTTTGCGAAAAAGAAGATGAAGACAAAAAAAAATGTGTTACAAATGTCTGTAACATAATAGTTAATATATAAGATTCTATCTGTATAAAGTATAAACATTGAAAGAATTCTAGTCCTTCTTAAATAAAAAGAAAAAAAAAAAGAAGTCAAGAAAAGACATAATTTTAGGGCCGTAATGATTATTGTAGGCTCTCCCTGTGATAGGATACGAATGTATTTATAAATAATTTACGACGACGATGATGATCATAATGAAAATGATGATATATTAGAAAAAGAACAATCGTAAATCTCAAAATATACATTTACATTATATATAGATATCTAGCCTATCTAATATAAATTAATTTTATTATTTTTTCTTCAAAGCCAAGAAACAAATGATCATGTATACTATTTAGAAATAATTTCTTTCGTTAATCTCTTCCTCTTTCTCTCTCTCTCTCTTTCTCTTTTTCTCTTTCTCTTTTTCTCTTTCTCTTTTTCTCTTTCTCTTTTTCTCTTTCTCTTTTTCTCTTTCTCTAAAACATACATAGATCTATATAGATAGGAAAATAAAAAAAGAATTACAAGAAAATGATATCGAAGAGAAATAAATACTAACGTTGCATAACTCGTACTTATAAATATGAAACAAAATAAGAACAAAACAATGGAAACATATATATGTATATAATATTTAATTATAGAATTTGATTTCTAATCTTATTTTTGTCTGTTTGGTGTTTGGATGCTGTTGAAACGAAAAGTGAATCGAATGAAACTTATGTTTCTCTCTCTCTCTCTCTCTTTCTCTTTCTCTTTCTCTTTCTCTTTTTCTTCGGTTTGGCAATACACGCATACATACATGTGTACACTCATGTACATAGGTTTCATAAGTTGGTAAAATATATATGATAAAAACAAAGTAAAATAAAATAAAGAAAGAGGAGACAAGTAACGCGATGATCATTTATCGAAAACATTTTGTCATTGTGTGATTGATGAGACTTTAACAGAAATAAAATCTAAACAATAAAAAATAAAACGGATGATGATGCCCAGTATTCTACATGGCAAACTTGATAGATATTTTATAGACGGATTTTAAAATACACTCTCGTCGATTTTTCCGTCCTAATTATCGGATGAAATTATTCTAACGCATGTTGTACAATTGAGACGTTGAAAAAAATAACGAAGAAAATATCTTTTACAATTCGATGCAAGATCAACATTATAAAACAAAAATGGCGCTGGGTCTTGTTCGCTATTTTCCTACTTTTGCATCGAAAAAAACAAAACAAAACAAACGAACAAATCATTTTCAAACGACCCCGAAGATTTAAACACACAAAGGAGGAAATCTTCGTTTTTAACATCTTAAGCGTCATTTTCGTGATCTTGAATAATAATTTTAAGAATTATATATGTAATGATAAATTATACATATATAATAAATAATAATAATTAAATTATATATATACGTATAAATTTTAATTTTTTAATTTATATTATATATATATAATCTCATTAATAAATATATACGGGCAAAACTATTATGAACAACTCCATCCATAAAGTGTGCTCTGATGTGTGAGATACGTACGTTTGTATGTTTGAACGTATATACAAGTAGTTACAGGAATATTCATATCCGCTTCCACTATAAATTTTAAATAATTGATAATATTTATAATAGTTTAAAAATTGAATAATCTTAAAATAAGTTTCTATCCATAGTAATTTGGAAAGTTTGCATTACACAAGTAAATATAAATTATTTAAAATTTACAATGTATGGTGACAGGTGCGAATACTCCTGTGATTCGTTGCATTTAGGGTATGTATCTGTGTGAGTGATATTTATATAATTACATAAATATTTATCGATACTGTGTCTCTATGTACTCGCATTGTACAACTTCGTTTTGTCAAGTAAAGGTACACACATACATTTGAGGGTTGTTTGACAGATTCGCGCAATTTTGTAATGCATTTTCTTTAGGAATAAATAAATTTCATTCTTAAAAAAATAGTCGCTCGCGAATTTTTCAAATGATCCCTAACATTTATATACATGTATATACGTATGTATGTATCGTAAGGTATCGTAAAAAAATGTTACCACAATTTGAAAACTTGAAACATTTAAAACACTTTGAAACATTGAACGCGAATTCTACGATATTTAATAAATAATTTATAAACAGTCAAAGAATATGGTAACAATTTTAACGAGACATCTTGTATATATATATAACATAAAATTCAAAGTCACAATTAAAAATCTCTTGTGAACCTGCCTTTTATCTTTTTTGTATATTCAATTTGATACCTATCACGAATATCAATCTTAAAAAAAGGACAGCATGTACTTCTGAGAGAAAGAGAGCTTGAGAATTAACGACAAAATTCAGAGATTAAATAGAAAGTAAAATACTATAAGAATAATATAAATAATAATAATAGTAATCATAATTAAAATGATACTAATAATAATAATAATATAATAATAATAATAAGAATAAAAAAATAAGTAAGAAAACCTTTATAAAGGCCTTTCTAAGGGAAGAGAGAATGATCTTAAGTGCAGAACCGTATTTATAAATACTTTTTGGGGTCCTAACTGTAACATCATTATTATGAGGCCTTCCAAATATAAATTTATTATTTCTATTAATCGAATTTATTCATATTTATTTATTTAATTTATTGAAAGTAAGAGTTAAGGCTAATAACTTGATTCTATAAAATAAATATAACACTATATATATATGTATATGTATTATTAGGGTATGTTTTTTAAAAATACATTTTTGTAAGGGATAAGATTTTTAAAATGTAACCCCACAGAGAGAGAAAGAGTGAGGCCTCAGCTTGCATTTTATCATAAGTACGGCCCTGTACAGGTGGTTTAGTTGATAAGATCTTTCCTCAGGATATTATCAATAAAATTAAGATGATCAATGAGAACGGGATCGATAATAATGATAATGATGATGATGATGATGATAATGATGATTTAGCAATAATGTTTGTATATATACACATAGAAAAAAAAGACGAAGTAAAAAAGGGTTGGAGGGGGTAGAAAGGGGAGGTGATAATGTAAATGTTTTAAAATTCGACGAATGTTTCAGTCAATTGCAAATCAATTTAGACTTTCAAATTTGTGCTGTATATGCATGCATACATAAATACATACATACATACAAATATAAATATATACAGGATTTAAGTACATACAATTCGATGATAACACGTAAGTATATACTTACGTAGGTATAGATATACTTTACGGAGGAAAAAGAATAACTTTCTGTGAATTTTTTTGTAATGTACAAAAGGTAAATAAATAAAAAAATATTATATAATCGCGTCGTCGGAAATGTGTGCGTGTATGTGTCTCTGTGTATGTGTGTGTGTGTGTGTGTTTCATAGCACAAACGAAGTCAGCAATAAAGGTACCAGTTTAAAAACACGAATATGAATTATGGTTTCTACTTGAATCATCTTTCATTTATAATTATTATTTTTATTATTTTCTTTCATTTTTGATATTATTAGATATTTTCTTCCTTATATTTTTGCAATTTGCAATGTGACCTTAAATAAAAAGAAAAAATATATTATACATATACGAAATATGATATTAAAGTTGCAAGATTAAATAAACTTTATTTTTTTTATTATAAGATATCACTTAACAAATTTTTCATTAGAAAGAAACTGACGTGAATTGCATTGAACAATATGAGACACACATAAGATCAATAATTAAATTCTTTCATTCTTCCTTTCTTTCTTTTTTAATCTTCTTCTAATATCAATCGTTTCAATTTAGACATGTGTCGTTTCGATAAAAAGCACATCAGAATAGAAGGTCAATGTTATTTTTTTCTTATTCTTTTCTCTAACTTCTTTTAGTACTATTCTGACGCAACGAATGAACAAAATATGGATCTAATATTTTCTTTCTAGTCATTGTGTGTTGTTGCCTCCATCGTAGTACTCATTATCGTCAATTCTTGA